TGGAACAGGAAGTAAACTCCCTGCTGGCAAAGGAGGCTATAGATCGTATTCCTCCACCGGACAGGGAGTCCGGGTTTTACAGCCGCTACTTCATAGTTCCCAAGAAGGATGGGGGGTTGCGTCCAATAATAGATCTCAGGCACCTGAACCGTTCTCTGAGGAGATTCAGGTTCAAGATGCTCACTATTCCCATTATCGTGAGTCAAATTCAGTCCGAGGATTGGTTTGTCACGATAGATCTAAAGGACGCATACTTCCACATATCCATCCTTCCATCTCACAGGAAGTTCCTGAGGTTCGCTTTCGGGGGCGAAGCGTACCAATATCGGGGTTCTTCCGTTCGGCCTAGCTCTCTCCCCTCGCACATTTACCAAATGTATGGATGCAGCTCTGGCACCGCTGAGGGTTCAGGGCATCAGGGTGCTCAATTATATCGACGACTGGCTGATTTTAGCACAGTCACAGGAGCTGGCGGTTCGGCATCGAGATGTCGTCCTCGCTCACATCCAGAGCCTGGGGTTGAGACTCAACACGAAAAAGAGCGTGTTGACACCAGCCCAGAGAACTACGTTCCTGGGAGTGGTGTGGGACTCGGTCACGATGCGAGCACAATTGTCTCCCGCGCGGATCGAGTCCATCCTGACCACAGTGTCCAGGATAAGGCTAGGCCAAGCCATCACTGTGAAGCACTTCCAGAGAGTGTTGGGGCTCATGGCAGCAGCGTCCAGTGTCATTCCATTCGGCCTGCTGCACATGAGGGCCCTTCAGTGGTGGTTAAAAACCAAGGGGTTCTCCCCGAGGGGAAACCCGTTCCGCATGATCAGGGTTATGCGCAGATGCCTTCGTTCCCTATCTATGTGGAAGAAAGCTTGGTTTCTGTCCCAAGGGCCAGTGTTGGGAGCGTCATGTCGCCGGAGAACCGTTTCGACAGACGCCTCCCTCACGGGCTGGGGCGCGGTAATGGACGGCCGCTTTACGACAGGCCTATGGCAGGACCATCATGCCTCCTGGCACATAAACTGCCTGGAGATGATGGCGGTGTTCCGAGCTCTGAGGAGCTTCCTGCCGGACCTCAAAGGTCATCATGTCCTTGTGAGGTCAGACAGTATGTCGGTAGTGGCCTATATAAACCATCAGGGGGGTCTGAGGTCTCGCCCTCCATGCAGACTGGCGCATCAGATCCTCCTGTGGTCCCAGGGGAAGTTGTTGTCTCTAAAAGCAACATTCATCCCGGGGAGTCAAAATCAGGGAGCAGACATCCTGTCGAGACAGGGGCTGAGGCCCGGGGAGTGGAGACTCCACCCCGAGGTGGTGGAGTCAATATCTCAGAGGTTCGGCCCAGTGGAAGTGGACTTGTTCGCGTCTCGAGAGACGACCCACTGTCCACTGTGGTTTTCCCTCACCCATCCAGCCCCGCTGGGGTTGGATGCCATGGTGCAGACGTGGCCGAGGCTACGTCTGTACGCATTTCCCCCGATCGCTCTGCTCCCGGGAGTTCTAGAGAGAGTCCGTCGCGACGGGATCAGTCTACTGTTGGTAGCCCCGTTGTGGCCGGCCCGAGTATGGTTCTCCGACATAATTTTGCTCCTGGACGGCCCTCCATGGGAGATTCCCATCAGGAGGGACCTGCTGACACAGGCAGAGGGCTCAATATTTCACCCTCGGCCCGAGTTATGGAAACTGTGGGCCTGGTCCCTGAGGGGGCACAGTACCTAGAGGCCGGCCTATCAGCTGGAGTAGTGGAGACCATACTCAGCTCTAGAGCTCCATCCACGAGGAAATTGTACGGCCTAAAGTGGAACGTCTTCACCGTTTGGTGTAGGGAGCGTGAGGTGGACCCAGTTAACTGCCCAGTGGCTTCAGTGCTGGAGTTCCTCCAAGATCGCTTTTCCACTGGTCTTACCCCGTCCACACTCAAGGTGTACGTGGCTGCCATTGCGGCTTTCCACGCTCCTCTGAGTGATGGGCCTCTGGGGAGACACCAATTGGTCATACGTTTCCTCCGTGGGGCTTGGAGGATGAGACCTGCGGCTCGTACCAGGGTTCCCACTTGGGACCTGGCAGTGGTTCTCGAAGGGCTGGCTGAGGCCCCCTTCGAGCTGCTGGAGTCGGCTGAGGCCAAGAACCTTTCGTTGAAGGTGGTCTTTTTGTTGGCCATTACTTCTCTGAGGAGGGTAGGAGATCTCCAGGCGCTCTCCATATCTAACGAGTGCCTGGAGTTTGCTCCAGGCAACATTAAGGCCATTCTTCACCCTAGGCCCGGCTATTTGCCTAAGGTGCCGTCCAGTGCGGCACGGCCTACGGTTCTGCAGGCTTTTCATCCTCCACCTCACGTGACGGCGAATGAAGAGAGACTTCACATGCTCTGCCCTGTCAGAGCACTGAGTATTTACATTCAGAGGTCCTCTTCATGGCGGAAGTCGGACCAGTTGCTGGTGTGTTTCGGGTCGCCCAGAAAGGGGCTTCCCGCCTTAAAGCAGACCATCAGCAACTGGATTGTCCAAGCGATTTCCACGGCCTATCAGGTGCGCGGTATGCCTTCACCTTTGGCCGTGAGGGCTCATTCTACCAGAGGCATGGCGTCCTCTAGAGCCCTTCTCGCGGGGGCCCCCATCCAGGAGGTCTGCGATGCAGCAGGATGGGCTACCCCTCATACTTTTTATTAGGTTTTATAGTTTGGACATTCCGTCTACACCCGGCTCTCTTGTGCTCGCGTCCTAAGTGTGCCTGTGAGCAGCTTCACACTAGGGCAGGCAGGGCGCGTTGTGGCGTAGTGGGTACTCGTTCCCCCAAAGTGTCATTCGACGCAGTTGGAGTTCCCTCGAAAGGGAACGTCCTCGGGTTACGACTGTAACCCTTGTTCCCTGAGAAGGGAACGAGAACTGCGTCCCTTGGCCACGCCTTCCCCTGCCTGGGAGCGCTTGCTTCATCACAGAAGCTGACATCTTATGTGTGCCGGCTGCCTTTATAGCTTCCGCCTATGTGCCGTCACACATCACGTCATGACGTTGCACCAATCAGAGATCGGCTCAGTTTCATTCATACTTCAGAGGCGCTACGCTGAGGGGCGTTCCCCCAAAGTGTCATTCGACGCAGTTCTCGTTCCCTTCTCAGGGAACGAGGGTTACAGTCGTAACCCGAGGACGTTTTGTTGTGTTTATTTTGTTATAGAGAGGAAAGTGTGCAGCAAATATTTACATATTCATCTAAACTCATCTAAACAAAAAATGTTTGTTAACAGTATATCGCTGCTCACGTATTTTGAACTTCGTTTTACCCCTAAACAAAGAACGAAAAAGAACTTCGCCGTGAGTATATCGGGGCCTTAAGCAGGGCAGCGGGTGCCTGAGCCCTCCGCAGCTCCATAGCGCCCCACAATTTTCCCCACTGTAAATCTGTGGTGAAAAATGGACCTGTAGTGTGCTCTAATTGAAAGCAATTGGGGCAAATTTATTTTCACGTTACATTACATAAACCTCACTCCAGACCAAGACAATATCAGTCCGCTTTAGCTATGTGTATATTAGTCTGCATCAGGTCAGGAACTAGTTGGCATGTCTGTTCTTCCTATGTGGAGTAGCGTATCAAATTAATGAAAGTATAAATCATTTAGTATAAACGTGCTCATGTGAATAGCCTTTATGTAGTTCTGTTGTGTCTGTTTTATGTTTGTTCTGAGAATAGACATGACATTCTTTTCCTCACCGGAATTCATAAATGAAGCAATAAATACTACATTAGGGCAATTCTAATGCCGCGTTCCAGGCAACCCGTAACCCGTGTTTTTCCAACTCGTAACTGGGAGTACATCGATCTAGTACGAGTTCACGGATGGGAAGTCACGGGTTTAACTGCCGTTCCAGTGCACTTTCACGGGTATAAGGTTGGAAAAACACGGGTTACAGGTTGCCTGGAACGATGTACTCCCAGTTACGAGTTGGAAAAACACAGGTTACAGGTTGCCTGGAACGCGGCATTAGATAGCATTCGTGTGTACTTAAAGGGGTCATAATGCCCTTTTCACAAGATGTAAAATAAGTATCTGATGTCCCCAGAGTGTGTATGTGAAGTTTTAGCTCAAAATACCCTCAGATATTTTTTATAGCATGTTAAAATTGTCACTTTTTGAGGGTGAGCAAAAAAGCACTGTTTTTGTGTCCCTTTAAATTCAAATGAGCTGCTGCTTCCTGCACAGGGGGCGGAGCTTCAAGAGCTTGTGCATGTGTGTGTGTGTGTATGTGTTAGCAACTCCTCACGCAGACATGCACTGAAAATTTCAAAAACGTTTAGCCTTTTATTATGTTCAAACCGGAGTCGCATACAGATGGAGAGACTCAAGAAGAAGTGACAACATGTAGAATGCAAAAGGACATTTCTGAATGGTTAGTTGATGAATTTATGTAAGTTAGCTGATGTGGAGTTAACTATCTTCTAGTCATTGATTAGCATATTCTGTCATGCTAATCTATAAATCGCGTTCCTGGGGATGGGGTTTATGTACATTTTAGAAGAAGCTCATTGTAGTCCATACCAGCCGTTTGTTGTAGTCCTTAAAAAGCTATTTCAGTAAAAGACAATATCTCCCTTTGCTTTGAACTTCGAGCGTCGTAACTTTGAAGATGTTGTTTATGCTCAAACAGCAACATTACACACAAACTAAAGTTAAAAAAGTGAAATCATAATCAACCACCCCTTTAAAGCCTGTCAGTCAACATTAGCGCGCCACCCTCGGGCTGAATAACGCAAACTGCCAAAAGTGTTCTGCATGTGTTCAGCGATTAGAATATAAAGCTCACAAAATGTTTATCATAAACTAGCGCTAAGACCCAGAATCTGCCCTACCTAAATTTACGGCCAGGAGCCGTTACTGATCTGTATGATAAAAAAGGAATAGTTAGAACACCATAACTCCATAAAAGCTTGACATCTTGGTTTGTTTGTTATTATGTTCTTGCTGCCAGTTTTTTCCCCTTAATCTTAATTTGTCATCTTCCATGTAGGTAATGTGGGTATGCAACCTGTGCCGAAAACAACAAGAAATCCTCACCAAGTCGGGAGCGTGGTTCTACAGCGGTCCTGAGGGGTCCAGATCAGGGTCCCAAGCCAAAGTAAGGGGAGGCCCAGCAGGAGCAAACCAGGACCCTCTCAGAAACGGTTCAGGGCTCCCCTCAGACAGGTGAGAAGTTTATATTCCTGCACATTGCTTGACCTCGGACAATGTAAAATGTACGGGACTGATGCTGCCAGAAGGTTTTGTCTCAATGAGGAAGCTTTGTTAAAGGTTTTTTGTTATTGTCTTATAGAGAACCATATTATTTTTTTTCAGTTTCAGAATTTCTTCGCTATTTTCTCAGGACATGCATTTGATACCTGTAGGGCTGCAACAACTAATCGATAAAATCGATAATAATCGATTATGAAAATCGTTGTCAACGAATGTCATTATCGATTAGTTGGTCTGCTTACGTCACGGGGAGCGTTTACTGGTGATTGGTTGAAACGGGCCAATCAGGATGCTCTCTGTCTTACACGCGCTTCATGAGGCACACACGCACACACACGCAAGGTCTCTCTCCCTCCGTTGCTCTGCCCCGCGCTCGCGCTACACGGTTTGGAGCACAGTCTCTTCTGTCTCGCATGCGCGCTCTTGCTTGCGCGCTCAAATCCCGGGAGTTTGAACTAATTTGCGAGCATCAGGGAGCATATCAATATGCGGGTGACTTCCAGAACTTCCGGGAGACTTGGGATGTCTGTATTTTGCGTCTCGAGCATCAGGTTGTGCAATCAGTTTGCTCGCAACATAAGTGATGGATTAAAATACTGCTACCGCAGAAATATTAAATTAAAACGGTCTTTACAAAGCGAAGCACTAAATATAAAGGCAGTTAATAACAGCAACAGTAAAATATTGTTTTTTAGTCACTGTAGCCTACTCAGTGGTTTTCAGCGAATGTTTGTGCACTAATGCATCATTTTTCCTGTCTTTTTAATCAAGCCTGTTAGCTTGCTGCGTACCTCCATTCCGCTCTCTTTATATAGCATTTGTCTACTATTAAGTTTTAATTGTTTTTCAAACGCGATCTACTGCGGCTCTGTTCACACGCTTGTTTTCAGTCTTTCTATATTTATTTTTTACAAATTATCCTTATAATTCAATTAATTTTAAATAAAAATTAAATTAATTATATATTTTAGATGTTTTTAGTTTATATCTTCACATCTGAACAACATGTCTGTAAATTTGTTTTAACAAAAATTGTGTTAAAACAATATGTTGGATATAAATGTTTTTTTTTTACATTAATCATGGTTGTCAACTTGCCATCAGCAATTATCATTAAAAACAATGCAAATATTGATATTTGTAAAACTCAATGTGTGGCTTTTGCACTTTTTAAAGTACACTTTTACACATAAATACCCTAATTTAGGGTTTTAGGTAACACTTTATTTTACGGTGTCCTTGTTACATATGTTACATGTACTTACTGTAGTAATAACAGTAAATTCTGCATAATTACATGCAACTAACCCTCAACCTAATCCTACCCTATTCCTATAGTAAGTACATGTAGTTACTTAATATTACTCTGTACTTAAATATATAATTACACTGTAACAAGGACACCTTAAAATAAAGTGTAGCCGGGTTTTATTTAGTCATAATAAACAAAAAAATCGAATTGAAAATTTTATCCGATTAGTCGATTAATCGAAAAAATAATCGTCCGATTAATCGATTATCAAAATAATCGTTAGTTGCAGCCCTAGATACCTGCAATGTATGGACATTTTATGTGCGGTAATTAAGAATCACACAGCAACATTAATAAACAGGAAACTGCAAATGTTTGAGATCTTTAGGAGCATCTGTAAAATTCAAACATACACATGTGATAAGGGCTGGGCTATGTTGAAGGCACAATACATGCTTTGCAGTTAACATTTAGCTCCTTAATTTTCTTCTTTGACAATTATATCTGTTTAATACTTTCTGAGTCAAAGCAACATTCAATGTACAGTGACAGTTGCCTCTGAGGTAACTAGAGGTAAAACTAATGGTCATGAATTTTGCAGTAACTACACTGTTACATTTTAAGAAGTGAATGTGAGTGGAGCCTGACTTTGCTAAGCTCTCCGTTACTGTACTAGGGTGTTGTGATTGATATGTGTTTGCTTATCAGTGTTATTATTATTATTATATTAACCTTGTGAAAAAGAAGTACACTTAAGTATGTCTTTTAAAAAAGAGTGCGTATTAAAGAAATAATACACTTTAAATGAATATACTTAAGCAGATTTGACATGATTATAAAGTTTTTAAAAGTGTACTTAAGTGCATTAAAAAGTGTACTCTTAAGTAGCCGTTTTATTGCATTAATGTTCATATCAGCAATTATACAGTTTTTCAAAAATGTAATTTAAAGATTTGAAGTATGCGCTACAAGGGTATGATTTCTGGACTATACTTGGGGTTAATAGTGGGTTGCTTGCATAGTAATAGTGTTTACAGCCTTCATGACTAGAACAGATATTTCACTACTAAGCTACACACACGCAGCAATACCCATTAGCTCTGGTCTGACTCGAAAAGTGGACTAGCGATCCCGTCAGTCTCTTTCCAGCGGATCATTAAGGGTCTGTAAGTGGTCCAGGACCTAATGAGGAAAGTGCACTGCCTACACAGGCCACATCAGCATCAGATGGACTTGCAAACATTGAGCTCAGATAGATAATGGTAATGATTGTAATCATTTTGACTGCTCAAAATTTTCAACAAATTATTCAGCCTATTCTTGAGTAGTTGGAGTGAGACTCAGGGCGGAGTTGGAGCAAGTTCTGAATGAACTATTTTGCAGCCTAATTGTTTGTACATGTGTCAGATAGATTTCTTCCGCTGTTTCATTGAACATCCCTCCCATTGCTGTCCAACTTAACCAACCAGAAAAAAAAATGCAACAATAAAGGCTTGTTCACACCAATGATAATAACTACTATTTTTGTCAAGTACTAGAGTACTGTGATGCTTGAGTGATGATCCCTTGTCTGAATGCAACGGAATTTGCAATTAGACTTTTCTTCCCCATATCTGAGTTAAACGACTTCTTGAACAAGAAAGATTAAGGCCGGAACTTGATTTTGACCATCGTGAATTAGACCTGTATGCCAAGTGCATACAGGATTTTCGGTTTCCGTTTCGGTCCAGAATTTTCATTTCGGTGCATCCCTATTTTCAACTACACAATATAATTCCTGTGTTACAATAATTCAAATGGTCACAGAAGTACTGGGATAAAGGTTTATAATTCGGATGTAAACACTGATGTCTACGGTAGCGATCAACATAGAGTTGTTCATTTAAGAGATTCATTCAGAAACGCTGATTCATTCAGCAATGAAAGTGAAGTCTTTATAAGTGAGCCATTGAATAAGTCATTCAAACTGATTTTTCTAAATTCAAATTTATAAAATAATCTTTAAATAGACTGCAGCAATTAACATCTTGTCAGAACTTTAAATTACATGTTATTTTGTTTAGATGTCTATTCAGAATCATGGAAGAATCGTGATTTCTATTTTAAACACAAAAAAGTGATTTTCAAAGTGATTATTCAGAATCTTGCAGCTGGTTGGATGGATGTTGTGATCTCATGTGGGTGACAAGTTGTCCCGCCCTCGCGCCGCGAAACACGAAGAGATCTCTTTGCGTAGGGAGGGTAAGATATTTTGATTAAAGCGGTATGATGCCCTTTTACGCAGTGTTGATTTTGTTTTTGGGGTGTACTACAATATGTTTTCATGCTCTATTGTTCAAAAAGTGCATTATTTTTCACATATTTTACATTATTACAGCTCTTCTCTCCCCAGTCTGGTTGAATGCTTCGTTTTCGATGAAGCCCCTCCTTCCAAAATACGAAATGTGCTGTGATTGGTTAGCTGGCCCAGTGTGTTGTGATTGGCACGCTTTAGCGTGTGTTCGGGAAATATCACGTCTCTTCATAACTGCGAGCTCTACTCAGATGTAAATATTAACAATGGCATCAATTTCAAACCATTATGAGCCCGATTCAGACCCCGACAATGTTAACGAACAAGAGGATTGTGCTGAACGGATTTCAAGCACGGACTTTGCAAGCACGGATTTCACAGGACGTTTCAGAGTGTTTTTTTTTTTTTTTGTGCAATTTTCTAATAGATATGATGTTAACAACCATTTAATCATATTTGTCAGAAAACTATGGTCATACAAACAGTAATCGATCACAAAACATGGATAATTTTCCTAAGGGGCGGTGAACAGTCTTACAAAAGCAAGAGCTTACAAAAGCTAAAGTAAACACTACATCAATACTGTAATGTTAGTTAGCAGGCGAGTAGAGGCAAAGCTTTGCTCTTCGTTTACATCTATCATAGCAACTACATAAAGCTTATAATTGGAACTGTTAATGGAAAACACAACTACAAATAATAAAACATCCTTACAAGTTGTGATCCATAAACAACAGATTGTCCTGACAAATGGGAATGGCTTTGTGCTTATAGCCTGCATACTCTCTTCTGGAAGCTGTTCTCCGTAATATGTGCAGAGCACAGACAAACGTTGAGGTTAGAATGTTCAGCAACAGTGTGAAATACATTTTTACCTCTCTAAGTTCTTCAGCTTTAGGACAAACTTTTTTCCGGGGTGTGAAAAACAGCGACAACAACTCTTCCTCTTCTCTAAAGCAGTCCAACATAGCCTCACCCACTTTGTTGAGTGTTTCCAGGGACGGGGTTTATGTACATTTTAGGCTTTGTGATGTCACCAACCTGGGAAGAAGCTCGTTGTAAGCTAGTTCCTACCAGCCGTTTGTTGTAGTCCTTAAAGGGTTAGTTCACCCAAAAAATGAAAATTATGTCATTAATGACTCACCCTTATGTCGTCCCAAGCCCGTAAGACCTCCGTTCATCTTCGGAAACACAGTTTAAGATATTTTAGATTTAGTCCGAGAGCTTTCTGTCTCTCCATTGAAAATGTATGTAGTACGGTATACTGTCCTTGTCCAGAAAGGAAATAAAAACATCATCAAAGTAGTCCATGTGACATCAGTGGGTTAGTTAGAATGTTTTGAAGCATCGGAAATACATTTCGGTCCAAAAATAACAAAAACTATGACTTTATTCAGCATTGTATTG